GAGTCACCCGGTGGCGAGATGGCGCTGCGGCCAGTGACGTTTTTTAAAGGTTGATGCTGCTGATGATGATGGTGGTGGTGGTAGCTGAGGCGGTCGATCTGGGTGTGAAGTGGGTATTGGGAGGCGTGGTGATTCACGGGAGGATTAAGGTCATTGGATTGAAGGACGAAGCAAGGAGTTGGTTGACAAGGAGAGAATAGAACGGCGGGAATGGAGAAGATAGGAAAAAACCAAGCAAGATGGCAAAAATCTTGAACCGGGGAAATGGAATCCTAATAAAAAGCCCCGAGGTGTGTTGCGGTCCTCAAAGGGAAAATGCTTTGGTGTTAAAGGGGGGGGGAGAAGGGAACCTTCTTTTTTCTCTTGTTAGCCTCTTCTTGTTTTTGCAACCGGCTGTTTTCTAGGGCTTTTCCATCGGGCTAACCAACGCGTGGCTTTTTTTGTGCTTCCTTGCATTTATTTCCAGGCCGTAGAGTTCTACTATTTGGGTCCGTGTTCTTGGAAAGCGATGGGGAGTTGTTATCGTTTGACGGGTTTCTTTAGGGCGGGTTCTTGATGACGACAGCATCTCACTTTGCCAAGGCGCTTACATAGAATTCTGGAGCTGCATGTTTTGCGTTTCGGGGGGGCGGGCAAAGTACCTGGAGCTTGCTGGAGTGAGTACAGGCTACATGTTGCTTGCTTGGCGGAGACGGGCATAGCAACGCCACGCAAGGACGTACCAGATACTTTAGTGTGTTGCTCTTTGTGGGCATTGAGGTACATGAGCGTTCGGATGATCGATTTGCGATTGATTGATCGACTTATTTGATTGACTTGATGCTCAACTGACAATCTGGGGAAGCCATCACGAGGGGAAATAATAGAAGGCTCTCTTAACGCGTCTTTTCGGTTTGGCAAAGTAAAGTACTAGCTTGATTATCATGGACTTCTTTTCGAATTTCCGCTGGCAATTTAGTAGTAGCTTCAAGGAAGCCGAAGCAGCGGTGCTGAGGGACAAGGAAAACGGATACATAAAACCGGCAAACCGGCAACGGGAGACGGCGGCTAAGAATGCCGATCCGATGCGAGGCGTTACGTGGATTCGAAGCATTTGCTGATGCGTACGGAGGATAAAATCTTGTGTGTATTCCGCTGATTGCGAAAATGGGTTCGGCTCATTCTATTGTTGTAAAGCTGTCAGGGGGGTTTCTGGGTAATCAATTGCAGGTGTTGAAAGGCTTGTTTGAAGGAGCCCGGGGTGGATGCTCTATTGCAAGTTGGTGGTAGGAACCTCTACAGCCATAACGTGGCGTTGCGGTGTGTTGCGCTGCGACGAGTCCAAGGGGGGTCCGTCAGATTAGTGTCCGATGTATGTGAGTTTTGGGATTTGTTGCGTTTGTACGATGATGTACATGTTTGTCCATGTTGTAGAGCAGCGAGATGCCTCCTTATAGTACAGTCCACAGGCACCGTCTCGTTGAAGAAGCATAGTGCACATGCGCACATGCTTCCTCCAAAAGAGGCGAGCCGATTCCTTCCCTCTATGATTTTTTCCTTTGCGGAATCTCCAACCGTCCTGCGGGTATCAAAACCAGCCAGGTAAAGTATTCCCTCTCTTGCCCTCAAATCAACGCCATAACGCCATACCATGCTCCGTAGTTCGCTCAGATATATTTTTCCCCCATTGTTTGTCGTCCGTCTGTTTTCATTTCCTTTCTACAAGTCCCAGCTGTTTCATTTCATTTCCCGCCTGCGGCCAGCCTCTGCTGCTCCAGCCGATACTTTTCATTCTCAACCTCCCTCCAGTCCTGCGGAATGGGCTCGTTGCCGTCCGTCTCCTTGACGCCGCCGCCAAACGCAGACTTGCCCGCGTACAGCTGGTAGCCTTTGCCCTGCTCCGACGCCTCCATCGACCGGT